CCAATGATGTGGCGAGTTTAGGGGAAAGTGAAGATGACCAGACTTTCTAACAGAGCAAAATGTGGGAAATATTGAAAGCAAAAGGAGGCTTATAGAAGACAGTAGATTAGGGAATAAGGTCAATGAAAGGTGCTTTTTCAGGAGAGAGCAAAGTAACTTAAGAAATAGGAATAAAAAAGGGAAGTAGAGTTTAAGCCAGGGACAGTTCAAGTGGGGAAACTTATCCAAACGTAATAAATAAGTGTATTTTGGCTTATAGATTTTTTTTCCATACTGAGGCCTCATCCAACCCCTTTTTCTTCATAGTCTTCTTATTTATCACCCACATGATGTGCGCAACGACTGTACTCTGGCTGTCTGTGTAAGGCAGAGGGAAAATGAGGTCCAATTTTCATGTACAAGACACACACACAAACACCTGAATGCTCGTGATTGGGTTATTTTCAGTAACCTATGAAATGTGAACATGAAAAACAATTTGTAGTTCTTAATTACTGTGCTGCACTCCACTGGGAACACACATGAATAGGAAGTCCATCTATATCTGACTTGGTAAAGAGGACATGCGGTAAAGAATTCAGAAAAATGGTTGCCTAAGTCTAGAGAAATCCTCAGAATGAATTCCACCATCATGCAGTCAGGATAGCTGCAGAGGGTCCTGTCTGCTCATTGTGTGAACGTGTCTTCCCCAGGAGGGATGCGAGAAATCCCAACACACTCCAGCATGTTCCCCAGGTATTCATCCCAGGAATCAAAGGGAGCTCAAACAACTAAATGTTTCTAAAATAGTAAAAGTTTCCATAAGCCAAAGTTCCCAGGAACTCCTTAAAAGGAATGATCTCAATGCCTGACTGCTACCTCAAACTCCAGACATGGGTATCCCCTGACTCCTTAGCACCTCAGCTTGGATGTGTGGATGTCTGCAGGCATCTCACACCTCACCGTCCAGACAGACGGTGCTGCTCCCGTTTATCTGCTCCCATTCCATCCCCCAAATCGCTGTCTCTCCTGTCTTCTTCATCAGGTTACACAACACATCCTTTCCCCGACAGGCTCCAAAGCCCAGAGTCATCCTTGATCCATCCCTTTCCCATCCGTACCAAGTCATTTGCAAGTCTTGTTGGCTCAGCCTTCAAGATATTCCTCAAATCAGACCACTTCTCACCAACCCCTCTGGGCCACCTGCGAGAGCCCTCTCTTCGCTGATCGCCAATTTTCTCCCTTACCACACAGCAGCCAGAGGGATCTTTTAACCTTATTAATCTGGCCATGTTGGCCCTCTGCTTAAAATCTATTTCTCTAAGAACAAAATAATCAATTCCTTACCATGGTCTCTAACCCTGCATGACTCAGGCCCCGCCCCCTGCCACACCTGACACCAGCACAACAGCCCTCCCTGTGCTCCAGAACAGCCAACCTGCTTTAAGCGGACTCTCAACCAACGCGCCACTAGGGAAGCCCTAGGGACCTTTTGAATGGGTTCTTTCCTCTACCAGAAAAAGCTCTTTCCCAACCCCTTCACTCAGGCTCAGGTCAAATGTCCCTGCTTTCTCAGCTCTTCCTTCCTTCCCTCTCTCCCTTCCTCCCTCCATCCCTCCCTCCCTCATCCTAAAACATCACTTCTTTCTGCACAAAGAAAGGACCAGGGCTGACCAGCGTTGGCACTTGTGCCAGAGACCCCATTGTTACTGCCACCAGCAGATCCCTGAGCTCCCATCCACAGCTGTGCTCCTGCGGTTTATTAGAACACAGAGGCTGTAAGGGCCTCGCACTTGTAGCAGAGGCACGAAAAGGGAAAAGAAAAGTTACACAAAAAGTATTTCTTTAGCTGGAGACGGCAAGTTTTTATTCTCCTAGGGTATAACCGTGTTATTTTTTGGTGTTTAGGTAGAGCTTTTCATCCTAGGATCTTACACTTTCTGAGCGCAAAATAAACAAGATTGTCAGGATTTTCAAACCTCAAGTTGGTAACCTGTGGGCTGTGGAGATCAAAGGATGGGCAAGCGCCGGCGCTCTTATCAAAAGGAGCTCCCAGGCATCAAAGAGGCTTCTTGCTGCACCGTCTTAGGGAGGATTCTATGGAAAATGTCAAGTGGTGAGGAAGGGAGATCAGACCGCAGCCCTTGGAGCCTTTGAGCTTAGAGCTCATAATGCAAATTCGAAAAGAAAAGACGGAGGAGGGCTGATGAGGGTCTGGGGCCAGGACAGAAGACAAATGCTTACCTGCCACCCCTCTCCACTGCCCTGCGAATGTTCACTTTTGATACCTCAGTCTCCGATCCCTGTAATTTTTGAAGGCCTGGAGGGGTGTATCATTTCATTTCTTTCCAGAAACTAACCTACACCTTTAGAGCTCTGATTTCAGCCTCCTCTTCGTGTCTCAAGTCCTTCCTTTGGGGATCAAGGATTACAGTATCTTGTCAAGTTAGAAAAAAAAAGAAAGGCATACACCCCACATGGGTCGACTCCTACCATCAGTCAAACTTTCAGAAGGGCCTGTCTCCAAACTGCCAAGAAATCACTAGCTCTGGCTGGCATGGAGATAAACCTCTTACAGAACATCAAGCTTGTGGAATCTGCTGAGGTGGGTGCAGGAGGCAGGGTGGTTACTGATTTGAAGCAACACTCCAGCCCTCTGAGCTCTATGCACTGGTCTATATCCTGATGGTGGTAGTGCTTACATGGCTCTATCCATGGGTTAAAACTGATCGAGTTATACACCAAAACCACCAACAACAAAAGACTCGTGATTTAATGGTTTTAAAAATGCCCTCCCTAGAAGGCAAGTGATCTCAGACTAAATTATAACACATTCTAAATCTCGCCCTGCCCATCTAGCTCTTCCTGGTGGAGACCTCCCAGCGAGGCTGTTAATATAACATGAAAAATCATATGTAAATGTGCAAAGATGTTAAGTCCAAGCACATGGGAGTTACTGTTTGTGCACTTACTAGAGCAACGATATGAAAAACCAGATATAGTGTACCTAGATGAACGGGTTAAGTCTCACTTTCATAGCAGAGCATATCCCCAAGAAGTGTCATTTCACTCTGAATAAATTGCTTTACCTCCTCAAAGTTTCCCGTATACATATCTGGAGAAATGAAATAAGCTCATAGGTCACTGTAAGGAGGACATGAGGGTAATCTCATTCTACGAAAAATGCCTAGAACAATACCTGTACATACTAAGCACCTAACAAGTTGCAGCAGTACGAGCTGTACTGAGTAGCGGCAGCAGTGCAAGGCCACTCCTTCACTGCCTCTCCATCCTCCCAACTCAACAGTCTTCCGCCCCCACTGCACATTCCACTGCCTACAATAATTTTTAAGGAATGTGGATGCCAGGCGCCAGCCTTAGCTATTCCGATTCAATTATCTGGGGACAGGTCATTTGACAATCGGTATTGTCTCAAGTCCTTCAGGTAATTCTAATGTCTGGCCAAGGCTGAGAATCATTGAGCTAAAAAAAAAAAAAAACACAGATTAAAGTTCTTAATTCAGGCTGAATCTCATTTTCCAGAAATAAAAAGTAACAGATCTTATTCAGGCGGATCTTAATCAGAGGTCACCTCCATCATTTCTGGTGAGAGATTATACAACATGAGCTTCCCGTCACAGGAGGATCGACCTGGCAGTTCCAGTTAGCACCTGCTCCGGGGGGCTGGGCCGGCTCTAGGCACAGAGATTACACTTTAAACCACAGACCTTTCTGGGACTCTACAGATCTTTTGAAGAATAATTTTCTGAGCTTACACTTTCAGAACATATTTGTTCCTGCACAGATACGTTCCTGTTCACATATATTGTTCTGCTGACCCTCCTGTTTCATGGTAAAAAAGGAGATAAATGCATAATTCTCCCTCTGCCCAGAGCCTATCCAGACCCCACTTGACTTAACAAATAGGGGGTGTTCCATCGGTCTGAGAGACACCCATGTTTGTTCCCTACACA